TAAGAACTACTAAATTAAAAAAAAAAAAAAAAGCAACTGATACTCAGGATACTTCAGAATCTAATCACACACAAAAAAATTATGATTAGGTATAAGATCTAGGGCTCCACTTATTTTTTCCCCCTTCTCCAGATTGGGAATTGAACCCAGGGGTGCTCTACCACGGAGCTACATCTCAGCCCTTTTTATTTGACATAAGGTATCACCTCAAATTTGTGATGCTCCTGGCTTCAGCCTACCAAGTCACAGAAATTATAGGCCTGTGCCACCATTCCACAATGGGATCCACATTTTTAAAAAGTTCCCAAGTGTTTGAAAAATACTGTCCTTGGAAGAGACATAAAACCAGCAGCCGCTGGATATAATTCTTTTTCCCTTTCCTTAACCTACAGCCTTGTGGATATTAAAAGGCAAGTACTCTATCACTAAGCTACATAAGAGGCCCCTGGATATATTTTCTTAATGTTTCTGATCTGTATTTCACTGGCCCTAGGTTGCAACAAGGAATACTCTGTCAAAGGAACCCAACTGGAATCAAACTGCTGCCTTGGCATATAATATACCTTTACTTCCAAGTTTATTATGTGCACATCTGAGACCACACACATTACAGTACCAAGACTTAATTTATTGCAGGGTATTTAAACAGATCTTAAATGCCATTCTTTTCTTCACTGAAAAGCAAACTTTAAGTATTTACCAAACCAGAAATAGAAACTTTTCAGGTTTTAAAATTAACTACTAGCATTTTTTTAATACAACTTAAAAAAAAATAATTACTAGCATTCAATCTAAACATTACCAAAATTTTGTATCACCACATGATACAATTATGATAGCTAGAAAAATACTGACATCTGGATATTTATTAGGACACTAACATTTCCCTCAAAAGCAAAATTTACTACAAGAAACTGCACTAACAAAATATTTAAATTAAAATCTACCATTTCCTCTAGTAGAAATTCTTTCCACAAGAAAATACTGCAGTATTTAAGTGTTCAAACTACTTCATCTACAGCAAATGAAGCAACCTAACATGAAAACAATTACAAGACAATCATAAAAAAGCCAACCTCATAAAATTTTCATTATTTCTAAATTGTTATGTTTCCAAAAGCTATAAAATTGGGACAGCAGAAAACTGCAACTTAGTAAATACTAGCTAGAAATGATCATAAAAACTACCTAAAAAATGGTCAAATACACTCCATGCTATAGTAAAAGATAAACCTAAAAATAAATGATACAGGACAAAAATACATTCTTAAAGTAGTCAAAAGTATGTTATTCTACAAGAGCGAAAATATCATGTTTCATTTATTACAATAGCAATTATCAGTTTGATTTTTCTCTAAAGAAAAATAGACAACATATTCTTAAAAATATATTTCCATGTATGTCATAAAAGTTATCATCAAGTTGAAGGCTGACAAAGAAAAATAAATATGACCAGATGTGTTCTCCTTCATCCCTCGCTACATTAAAAACCATTACTATTTAGGATATAAAGTGTAAATCAATTTTTTAATACTTCATAGCTCCATGCTCTTAATTATGTTGGAATATATCTAATGGGAATATGATAAAGAAATAAAAGGTGACATATTAAAACTAACCAAGAAAATTCTACTTTCATTACTAGGCAAGCTGAACACTTACCATTTGACTCCTCCCTTTAAATTGAACAATGAAAAAAGAGAAAGCACATAAGAGGGCCTAATTTCAAAGCTTTAAAACAAAACAACAACAAAAATAATAAGAATTAAAACTGTTTAACAATTTTTCCAATGACATTTTATAAAGTAAAGGACGAATATCTCAGAAAACTGCCTTAATATGTTCTTATTAACAAAATGTTTTCCAAATGCAGTCAAGAGAGGTAAAGAGCATTTGTTAATTTTTAGTGCTTGATTAGTTTTACATTAGCAAGAAGCATTATGAAGCTAGGAACTAAATAAAACTAATAACAAAATTATGAAAGCCTTGTGTCTGTTCATACGATTTTTAATCTCAAAAGCACTTTTAAAAAGAAAAGATGATATTTCCCCTAAACATTTAATTCCTTTGTCACACAAATTATCAGCTTACTTATATACTATTTATTCATTCATTCATTCATTCATTCATTCATTCATTCTGGTACCTGGGATTGAACTCAGGGGCATTTTGCCACTGAGCCACATCCCCAGCCCTATTTTTTATTTTATTTAGAAACAGGGTCTCACTGAATTGCTTAGCGTCTCACCATTGCTGAGGCTGGCTCTGAACTCTTGATCTTCCTGTCTCAGCCTCATGAGCTGCTGGGATTACAGTTGTGCACCACCACAGCCGGCTTTTATGTACTATTTGATATATATTAGCTCTTCAGAAAAGTGAGAGTTCAGTAACTTTATAACCTAACATAAATACTAATTCTAAGAAATCACAAACATTTCACCATAAGATTCAATATACTTTTTCTATAAAGAGGCAAAGAACAAATATTTTAAAATACTGTGGATGAAAAGTCGTGTAACATTCTTTTTTGAGCTGGAATCTCCTTATGTTGCCCACACTGGCATCAAAACCTGGGCTCAAGCAATTCTTTTCCCTCAGCCAATGGAGTTAACTTGAGTAACTCGGCCTACACTTGCAAGCCCAGTTTTCTTCTTTTTATGAAAAGATTAATACTATTCTTATCTCTGTGATGAAGTACTATTAAAATGGACATGGTAAAAGACTATAGTTTGATGAATCCTGCTCTAGTCAAATTAATTTTGATTATGACGCTTCAAAATACGCAACATGTGCTTCTTCAAATCCCTGAAATATATCATATAAATGAATGTATTATCTTTTAATACTTTTCTAAGAATATAATCTCATGAAACAATACGTGATCTATTTAGAAATGCCAATAAGCCCATCAGAGTATGTTTAATATCTAAAATCTATTTTCAAACTTCTTTGTATGTTTGTAATATTTTATACTTTATACAACATTAAAATGAATTTCAAATACAACACACTTGGCCCCAGCCCCTGGAAGTGGGGATTGAACCCACAGGAGCTACATCCCCAGTTCTTCTTATTTTTATTGAGACAGGATCTTGCTAAATTGCTGGGATTACAGGCATGAGCCACTACACCCAGCTTAAAATATTAAAACTAAGAACCTGTAGTAATTCAATTTTAAAATGTAGTAATATTTCCAATAGCTTTCTAAAAAAAAGTAAAATTAGCAATATATTTAATTATTTCCTTCTAGTCCCCTAACTTGATTATTTATGCATATGACACACAAATAGCTATACATTCACTCCAAAAATATGAAAGTCATGCCAGACATTAGTATCAGTTTACTATAAGAAAATTCTTTAGTAAATATTCAGGTAAATAAAAAGAACAGGAGAATTTTCTAATTCTCAATGAAAGATTCCTTAAGAAATTCATCACATATGGTTTACATGTGATTATATTTAAAGATAATACCAGTAATTGCTATTTTTCAAATATGGGCCTAGAAAACTTAAACATCCCATTTTCTTCAATAATTTAAATTATCCTCAAATTGAAAAATTTAACAGATTTATGTGTAAATATATCAACTAAAAAACCCAAGATGACAGTTTAAAATATGTCTACTAATTATATAAGGAGGAAAAATGAATTACAAAATAATGGTAGAAATTACCCAATAAAAACTCAGAATTTTTTTAATTACTCAATTGATTCAGTAATAGAATTTAAAACTCGATTAAATTAAACCTTTAGTATACCACAAAAAGAATGAAAATCTTTTCTGATTATTTAAAGGCCACATAATTTTCATTCAAGGGTATTTACCTGATAGTAAGATAAATATTCTTTGTTATTATACAACTTAAGATTTACTTTTCTATGTATTCTAGTTAAAAAAAAAAAAAGCTAAAAATTTTCAGAAGAATAAGGACAGAAAGGTCAGGAAAAAAAGAGTCAATAATTTGAACTGTTAATACTTTTAGCCTCAGAAACTTACTGAAGAAGTCTTAAGCTTCTTTTTGAAGTATCATAGCTCCCAACATCAGAGAAGAAAAAAAAAAAACAATAAGAGATATTCTTCAAAATAATGGGTTATGTTGGCACTCTTTCAAGATGAAAAATGTAGTAACTCTTCACACATTATCATTAAGAACTTGTAGATTTTAACATATCTGACATAGTCTTGTTTGCTTCACCATTTTGCCCTCCAAAACCAAAACCTGAATCAGATTAAGTTTTTGAATATCTCATTTTGCAGAAAATTCAGGAACACAGGAATGTGCTAAATCACTGCACTGATGTATTCAGAAAAACTCAGCATGCGAGATACTACGCATAATGAGGCTTTTAAAAAAAAGGAAAAAAATGAGAGAGAAAATCAGACAATTCAAAACATCAATTGTAAAAAAAAATCATTTATAAGACCTATGTAAACCTCAGCTTTAATTGTTTAACAAAAACTAGCCATTTTTAAGATACGATACAGGTATTTAAAAGAAAAATACACATATTTTAGAGATACTTACTAAAAATACATGTGAAACTATATGAAGTTAGATATTTCAAACAAAATAGTTTGGGAAAGAAAATATATATACAACCATGTGTTTGTAACTGTTATATCTGGAATGATGGGTATATACTAGTCTCCATTTTTATGTATCTAAAATGTTCCAGAATAAGGACTTGCTAGTATCAGTATAAGGTAAAAATCAGCCAGGAGATGATGCATATAGTCAGGATTTCTAATTTAACAGCTTATATTTTTTAGAAGGGCAGTTAAAATAGAAAGGAAAAAAAAAAAAGGACCATCCATTTCATAAAACATATTACATTCAGTTACTAATTTTATTATCTGTAAGAGTTAGTTATAAGCATAGCAACTTCAAAGAGATTAGAAAATATACTATTGTATAAATAAAAATCTAAAAAAATTCCAAATACATGTCACCCACCTGATAATATAAAATATTTTTGGTTAACTATATTTTACTTACATTTTCCATATAGTTTGGTTTAAAGCCTTCCTGCTGTCGCCTCAATTCCTCCTGTTCTCTATGTCGGATCATTTCTTCCTCACGCCGACGATGTTCCTCTTCATGTCTGAAATTATTTCAAACAAAAATTTCAGCACTACGACATGTAAGCCACAACCAGGTACTTTATTTCATATAAAAAATAACTTATACAAATTACAATATGTCAAATTTGTGACTAATGATCGATTGTAGTGCCTAGATTTAAACTTCCTTCTTCTATTTTGTTCCAAGTCTTAAAACTCAGCCAAAGAAATAACTGAAATAAAGTAAAGAAACATACACACACAAAAAACCCCAAGGCAATGACACATAACCTCAGTGGTTATATGCTTTATGTTCAGGAAATCAAGCTGGGGCTGTACAGCTCAGTGCCATTGTGCTTGCCTTAGCATATATGAGGCACTGGGTTCAATCCTTAGCAACACATAAAAATAAGCAACTAAAATAAARGCATTCTGTCCATCTACAACTACAAAAGGAGTAGTACAAAAAGAGGAGTACAACAGGAGGGGGAGGGGGGAAGGGAGGGGAAGGAGGTGGGAGGGGGAAGAAAGAAAGAAATCTAGAATCCAAAGAGCCAGGAATGGTAGTGGAGTTCCATGCCAGGCTCAACACATTAGCAAGAGATTATTTCAAAATAAAAAGAACTGGAGATATACTTCAGCCATAAAGCACCCCTAGGATCAACCTCCAAGTACCAGAAAAAGACAGAGGGGAGGGGTGTCTAAAATTTATCAGTGACATGGCAGAGGTCTTCAAGATATCCAAAACCTACAGAAATTAGCCACCTCAAAGGATGCACTGACTAGACAAAAATTCTATTGTGTGCAGAAGGAAAAGTTTTATTGACCTCTCTTTGCTCTACTTTTGTTAACCCACTGAGAAACTTTTGAACAGTAGCAGCCCACACTTTTTTTTTATTTTTGGTAAATTAAGTTATATAGGACAATCATATATAACTTTAGCTAGCATAGTTAAGGAGTTAAAACAGAGGTCATATGTCCTACAAAGACTAAAATATTTATTATCCTATCCTTTGCCAGAAAAAAAAAATCTGCTGACTCCTGTTCTAGAGCAAGTAAAACTTCAAGCAAAAATCAATATATGTATGTGTAGGATTATTATTAAATCGGTAATTAAATTATTATATGATCAAGTCAGAAAACCTACATTAATATTTAAGGAACAGACTCATAATATTTAATATTCAATCAATGCAAATTCCAAATTATATATGTCCTAAATGCATACGCATGTGCACACACACAAACACACACAAAAAATAGTAATTGAAATAGTGAAGGCTATATTAAACTCATGTCCCATCAGCAGAAATCAAAGGTTAACTTGGATAAACACCTTTCAATATTCAGAATTAAGCTTCAAAACACTGCATTTTGAATGTTGCACAACATTCCCCACAAACACAAAACCATTAACTGAAATATGTGACTTCTTCCACTGCCAGAAGAAAATCTGATAAGTAACTCAAGAGTAAGGTTTTAGGCTCACAAGAAGTACAGAAACAATGTTCCTACATGGATTTCAACCAAAATCTATGCTATTTTTAAAATGTTGCCTAACTCTCCCAAATAAAACTATCACACACTTTAAAAAACATCTTTAGTAAATGCATTAATCAGTTCATAAATTTTATTGTTAACAAAATACTTTCAAATTCACATACTACTGAAAATGTACACAGGAACAAGTAAAAACTTCTTATCATCACCACCATCATCATTGTGGTATTGAGATTTGAATCCAGAGGCACTCTATCACTTAGCTATATCCCCAGCTCTCCTTGTGCTTTTTTCAAATTTTGCAGGCCTCAAATTTGTGATCTTCCTGCCTCAGCCTCCTAAGTTGCTTGGATTACAGTTATACATCATCACCCCCAGCTAAAAATTACCTTATCAAAAGAATGTTTAAGACAAATGTGTTTTTAAATAGACTTTTTCTGGTTTTTAAAAAAGATCAATATACTAATACTAAATTTCCAATGAGGTTCAGGCTGGCACCTCATAACCAATCACATCAGTATTTTTGCAGTAAGATGAACATGCATGATCTTTGGAAAACATAAAGATTGACAACATAATTTCAAGTCAAGCTTCTCCATCCAACATATTCACATCAGATTCTGCCACTGAATGATACATTTTAAAAACTATTTTTGGTTTTAAAGCTTTGCAGACATAATATGATCTTGTTGGCGGTCAACTTCTAACATATAATTTAAAAATGTGCAAACCAATTTCCAGTAAACTAAACAAATATGTGCACAAATGTGCAAGGATAAATATGTACACCATTATACACTGAGGCATTATTCATAAAAGCAAAGGATAAAGACACATTAATCAGTATATAGGGAAAAAAAACAAGGTTCACTAATCCGAAGGAACATAGCTGTTACAAAAGGGTAGGTATGCATTTACTGATAATGAAAGAATATTTATTGTCAGAAAAAAGGCAAGTAAAAAAACAGTGTTCCTGCCAGTGGTGCACACCTGTAATACCAGCTACTTAGGAGGTTGAGGCAGAAGATCACAAATTCAAGCTCAGCCTGAGCAACTTAGAAAAACCCTGTCCCAAAATAAAAATTTATAAAAGGATTGTGCTATAGCACAGCAGTAGAGCACTTCCCTAGTATGTGCGAGGTCCTACGTTCAATTCTTAGTCCCACAAAACAAAACCCAGTATTCCTAATTTGTATGCATAAAGAAAAAGATATGAAAAAGTTAACATGACATGGGAACAATCTGATTAAGAGCAATATCCTTGTGATATATCACACCAATGATTCCACAATCTAAATATACAAGTGGTATAAATATTCCTGTTGTCCATGTTTGCTTTCTATTTTTCTTATTCTGCAAGATGCTCTAAGTTATCTCTTCAGGTAAAGGAGCATTCCCTATGTTATATTCATAAATGGGACAAAAAAAAGAAAGATATGACAAATATATCATCCTTTACATCATACTTAATTTAAAATTAATACAATTTTAATTTTATAATTTGTTTTAAATAGAAATCCTCTAACAATCTTCAGATCTCAAATATTTTTACAGGATTCTAAAAACAGAGGATCTAGGCACTAAGCCATGATGCTTACTGAACGAATCTGACTTGCTGCTTTCTGTTTGGGGGAGAGTTTTGTCTGTCTGTTTGATACTGGGGACTACAGCCAAGGGTGTTTATCACTAAGCTACACACTCCTAGTCCTTTTTGGCTGGTTGGTTTGTAACAGGGTCTAAGTTGCTGAGTGTGGCCTTGAACTCATAATCCTCCTGCCTCAGTTTCCCAATTTGCTGGGATTTATAGGAATGTGCCACTGTGTTCAGATGCCTTCTGTTATTTTTTTAAATTTATTTATTTTAAATATTTATTTTTTTAGTTTTAGGTGGACATAATATCTTTATTTTACATTTATGTGGTGCTGAGGATTGAACTCAGTGCCTCTTGAATGCTAAGTGAGCACTCTACCACTGAGCTACAACCCCAGCCCGCCTAAGCTTACAGTACATTCTATGGACCCATTATCTCTCTATTATGATTTGAATCTGTAATGTCTCAAAAGGTCATATATTGAAAAGCAAGGTCCCCAATGCAGCAATTCAAAAATAGAGCTTTCAGTCAATGATGAGATCATGGGTGCTCTGACCTTACCAGTGAATTAACTCATTGGATGAATGAATTGATAGCCGAATGAACTAATGGGAGGTAGAACCTACCTGGAGTAAGTGGGTTATAGGGCATGTCCTGCAAAGGTGTACATGTCCCCAGCTCCTTCCTGTCTTTCTCCCTCTTTGCTTCCCTCTGTCAAGTACTGACATCATGATGTCCTGCCTTACTAATCATGCAGCTAACTGATCATGGACTGAATCCTCTGAAACAGTAAACCAAAATAAAAGATTCTTTCCTCCTCTAATTTGTTCTGTCAGGTATTTGAGTTATAGGAAAGAAAAGCTGACCCAACACATCATAAGGACTTTAAAATAATGTGCTGGCTGGGCATAATGGTGTACACCTGTAATCCCAGAGATTCAGAAAGTTGAGGTAGGAAGATTAAAAATTTGAGTCCAATCTCTGCTATTTAACCCTGTCTTGAAATGAAAAAATAAAAATTAAAAAAAAAAAAAAGCGTTGGGGGGAAAAAAGTGTTCAGTGGTAGAGTGCCCCTGGCTTTAATCCCCAAAACTGTGAAAAAAATAATGATAATATATTGAAAGATTTAGGAAATAAATGGATAGGCAGGAAAGTGTTGAGAAGAAAAGAAACGAAGCAAAAAGTAAATGATGAAAACTACTAAACAGCCAGGTACAGTGACACGTGACTGTAATACCAGTGACTCAGGAGGCTGAGACAGGAGGATCACAAATTTAAGACCTTGCTGAGGTCCTTAAGCAATGTAGTCATACCCTGTCTCAAAATAAAAAATAAAAAGGTTGAGGATGTAGCTCAGTGATAATTTGCCCCTGGTTAAATCTATAGTAACCCCTTAAAAACAAAACAAAACAAAACAAAAACACTAGTAAGTAGACAAGTCACAGGTAGAACCCAGCCTCTGAAGAATTAAGTGGCTCATGAAAATTTACGTAATTTATTATAGCATTGAAAAAGAAACTAAAAACCTTTCTAACTCCAAAGAAATTATTTAGTTTCTCTGAAAACATACTATTCTAAGCAAGGTTTTTCTAATCCAACTAAGGTAAAAATATAAAGGCAGAGTCCAGGTTATTTGGTTTAACAATTAAAGCTATCTTACTCAGTAGCAGTTTTAGACAGATGATTTTCTTTTATTTTAAGACAAGTTATCATATTTTTTAAAATCAAAATTCTTATGAGGGGAAATTGGGGCTATTATCAGTTGGTAGAGTGCTTGCCTTACCCTGGGTTTAATCCCTGCACCACCAAAAAAATAAATAAAAAAATAAAGAGTTCATTTCAAAAGTGAAATAACTTATGTCATTTGTTCCCTACACTATATCCAAAACCTATAGTACTTTAACAGAAAACTTGCAAAAATAGTACAACACTCCTATGTATACCTCATCTAATTTCCATTAAATAATACATTTACCTTACCAAGATACAATTATAAAAAATTGGTAAAATATGATAATTACCCACTAATAATTATAAACCTAATTCAATTTTCCCCTCTAATGTTGTTCTGTTCCAGGACCTTATCAGAATCCCAAGCTGCTTTTAATTATTATTAGCCTCCTCCAGTCTCTTAACACTTCAGTCTTTCTTTCATGAACCTGACACTTTCTAAAAGAAAAAAATTTTTAGAAGACCCTTCAATTTGGGTTTGCCTGATGTTTTGTCATAACTGAAATGACAATATGCCTATTTAGCAATAAAACCACAGAAATCATATTGTATCCTCATTAAACAGTATCAAGGGGTGACTGAAGTCAACTGATTTAATATGAACGATAGGAATTTTAACAGTTTTCGAGGTATCTGATGGATTTTACTAATTATTCACTTTGTTTTCTATTTGTACTTAATACAAACTTGAAATTATGCAAAAACCCTGTTTTTCATATTTTTGCCTACCAACTTTAGCTTCTTTCAATAAATCTTCTCTGTAATAATTATTACTACAGTTTTTGCTGATCAATGACTTTATTGCTTTCATTCTTCCTGCATCTATTAATTAGAATCTTACTTTAAAGGGGAGCTGCCCTTTCTAGCCCTCTAATCATTTATTTACTCAATTGCTTTTATCAGTATGGATTCATGGATATTTATTTTATTCTATGGCTTAAAATCAAATGTTTGAAAAAACCTGACAACTACTGTTTATTTTGTTGCTAAAATCATTCTACCATGGGCATAAGGAACTCCTTCATAAAGCTCCCAGTTCTTCTGATATACTCTATCCTTTTTTGAATGCTTCTTTACTCTTTGGCACAAGACATTCTAATCACATCATGGGTTTTCAGTGTTTCTATCAACCCTCATTTCTTATACGAGAGTTCTTAGAAACAAAGATGTGGATACTAAATATACTCATATTTACTAGGATACCACTAATTCTAGGGCCTCTTGGTCAATGGAGTCATGAAATATATGTATATATTAATTCACACATAAAAACATCTGTATTTCTGTATGTGTTCATATTAAACATCACTGAATTCATTATTATATCTGTCTCCAAACCAGCACCACAGATTCACTTTAATTTTAGCCTTTTGGAGAAAATAGGGTCCCATTATCTCTATTTATGTTCATATATCTCTGTATATGTTCACCTAAAGGTACATAAACTAGGTGCAGTAGCACATACTTGTAATCCCAGCTACTTAGGAGCCTGAGGCAGAAGAATTACAAGTTTGAGGCCAGGCTTGGCAATTTAGCAAGAATCTGTTTCAAAATACTGCTGGGTTCAATCCCTAAGATCAAAAAATGATAAAGATAATCTGGGCCAGTCTCAGGGGATCCTTAAAGCACCATAAGGTGAAAAACATTTGAGAACCATGGCCCAAAATTAGGAAAAATACATATCAAGAATAATGGTCTGAGGAATACATCCTTCAAGCATTCCATCCTGCCTGCCCATCTATCTGACCTCAAGTGAACTTCACAAACTTCTAGACAAATGGCAGTGTCTGACAGAAATGCCCAATAAATGTTCTTTCTTAACACTTAAAAAAAAAAATTTTTTCAAAATTTAAAGATGCATGCAATTTATTACGACTAACCTTAGGTTTTTATAAGTTTTAGAAAGTATTGTTTAATGTACATATAAATACATAAAAATTACTAACTAAATGGAATTCTAGTTTCCTATTTTAGGAAACAGAATCCTGGTGGCCTTCCCAGGCAGTATGGTAGGGAAGCAGAATTTCCCTGCCATTACTGAGGGACTATTATGGCTGTCATATCTGCTTCTATATTCAATCTGTAGCAAATATTGCTTTACATAAAAAAAATCACATAGGTGTATGTGTATATGTGTGTGTGTGTGTGTGTGTGTGTGTATGTGTGTGTATGTGTGTGTGTATATATATGCTTATTTTAGTAGCCCATCTGGTTATTGTGGATATTCTCTGATACTTCACCAAAAACTTGACAAGCAGTGTTTTCTTTTTTTTTTTTTTTTATTTTGAGACAGGGTGTCACTAAGTTGCAGAGTTATTGGGGTTGACCTTGAACTTGTTATCCTCAGCTTCCCAAGTGGCTGGGATTATAGGCATGTGCCATCACACCTGGCAATTTATTACTTTTTAAAAAGTAATTTTTCTTTCTCTGAATAAGTACACTGCACAAAAACTGAAAAACTAAAATGAAAAAAAACACACACTTCAGTATGATTATATTATTCATTTGTAATTGGTTCATTTGTATTTCGGTATCCTACTCTGGGCCACCCCCACCCACTCCACTCCACATGCATGTTATTTGTTTTGATTATTTAGGGTTTTTTTCTTTTTCTTTCTTTCTTTCTTTTGAGGGGAGAGGCAGTCAAAAGGTAGGGTACAATTTCAAAAAGTCTAGCTGTCAAGTCAAAATATAAGAGGGAGCTAGATTTAGATAAGGTTTTAAGTTAGGGGAGGTATTTGTGTCCTTTTTGTTTGGTGCTGGGAATTGAACCCAACAGCACTTAACCACTGAGCCACATCCCCAGCCCTTTTTATTTTTTTATTTTGGGACAGGATTTCACTAAGTTGCTTAAGGCCTCGTTAAATTGCTGAGGCAATTTTCACTCATCATCCTCCTGCCTCAGCTTCGAAGAGCTGAGATTACAGGTGTCTGCCACAGTGCTCAGCTAAACATGTTCACATAAAAAGAGAAGCAGCAAAAATAACAAAGTTGAAAAACAATCCCTGAGGTAGGACATTCATGTGAGCAACTGCTGCACGGGAACCGCATGGCTTGACTCTAAAATCAAGTTTAATTCAATAGTTCTGGAGGTTAAGTTTGAGACTTTGCATTTCTAACAATTCTCTGGGTAAGAATGCTGATGCTGCCTATTCAAGGACTATAATCTGGAAATGACTCGGGTAAAGTAAAATCATAGTAGTTCCAAAACAGATACACACACATACACACACACACACACACACACACACACACACACACACTACAAATATTGATGTAAACAAGTACAAAGACAAAACTACAAAAATACATCAAAACATACTGAATATCACCTATCTGCAAACTAGAAAAGCTTCAGACTCAGTTTTTCACTTTCTTCTTTACTTTTACTTTCCACGAACAAGTTACTTCTAACCACAATTACTTGCTATTTTTATAGATCTTTCAAAACCAAAATTTCTAAGTTTGTTTCAACCATCATAACCTTGTTCAGGACATTTCCTTATTATAATTTATAAAGAGATTATTATAATTTATAAAGAGATTATGTATCCCATTATACTTCACAATAAAATACTGCAGGCACAAGGAAAACTGTCAAATGTAAAAATTATATCTTATGAATCAACCACAGTCTTCCTCCTTCCTTCTTTCCTTCCTTCTTCCCTCCCTCCCTGTTTCCTTCCTTCCTTCCTTCTGGGGGTTGAACACAGGGCCTTGTGCATGAGGGGCCAGCATTCTACCAACTGAGCTACATCACCAGCCCCCAGTTAATCATTATGGTTAACTTATGTACTATGATTTTAAATGCTTTTTACAATGGAGTCCACTTCCATAAATCTTTTCAATAATTATCAGAAGCAAAAAATACATAAGGGACATCTAGTAGTGTCACACCTGAAAAAAATAAAAACTAATGGCAATTCAAACATATCCATCTCTGAAAATAATATCTAATAAATCATATGCAACATAATTACCTAAGCTCATTATTTAACTCCAAAGAATATGCAATCAAAGTACCCTTAACCAGCTAAAAAAAACTTTAAAAAATTATTATCCCCTACATGGAGTCAAAAATAAACAATTTTCTTATTTATTTGTTTTCAGCATATTCCTACTTGTATAACTTGTTTATAACGGGTAGTAGGACATTTATTTAAAACTCACACAATTACATATTTTCATGTTTATGTTACAGTGATGTTGCTTTACCTCAGCTGTATTTGCTTTCGTTTCTGCAGCTCTTGGTTTCTGAGTTCTTCTAAGCGTCTGAGTTCTTCCTGACGTCTCATCAGATCTAGAAAATATTGACTACACATTAATATTTTTAGTTTCTTTTCTGTGTTTTTATGTCAACAAGAATAAAAAATTCTCTATTAGTGTCAAAATATGTGTACAATTATATTATAAATTTGTATATTGTATAATTAAGTCTGGCACTTAAGAATCAGACCAAACAGATAAAATGAACTAGGTTACCGCATAAAACCCAAAGAACTCTCTCAACACAATTAGCACTATGTTAATGTCTTATGAAGAAGTGCAACAAGGAGAAAAATCCTGAAAGAAGGGGGCAGAGCAGGGAAGCTCAAAAACAATGTGAACAAGACCACTTTCAATGCCTAGGACCTAAAAAAAAAATAAAAAACAAAACAGAGATGCTTTAACATCTCAGGTCATATTTCCTCACTCTTAACAACAGTATAATTAACTCAAAGCCTCTAACAATAAAATTATCAGTTAAGCACAGTTACCTGATACTTAGCAGGGTTACTACGATTTTTAAAATAAAACTAATATTTTACACTTACTAAACTGTATGTTAAAAGTTGCTAACATCCGAGTTGGGCACGGTGGCACATGCCTGCAACCCCAGCAGCTTGGGAGGCTGAGGCAAGAGGATCTCATGTTCAAAGCCATCTTCAGCAACAGTGAGGTGCTAAGGAATTCAGTGAGACCCTGTCTCTTAAATGAAATACAAAATAGGTCTTGGGATGTGACTCAATGGTTGAGTGCCCATGAGTTCAATCCTCAGTACCTCCCCTGGCAAAAAAAAAGTCACTAAGATCCAAAGATACTGAGATTTTACTAAAGTTTATACATTTATGCACTAGCATGATAAATATCTTTCTAGGGGAAAATTACTAAAAATAAGTGATGTCGAATTATCTACAATTCTGCTTTCTGTAGTTGCAGTTAATCACAGTGCAAAAATGTTAAATGAAATATAAACAATTCAAAATTTTAAATAAATGTTGTTACAATATAGGTATAATTATTTTATTGTTGTTAATTTCCTACTGTGCCTGATTCATAAACTCAACTTTATTCACAGGTACCTATGTACAGCAGGAGAAAACAGAGTATACAGAGAGCTCAGTACCATCCCCACCAGCAAGATTCCTTGGAAAGTAGTCACCTTCGGGCTGGGGTTGTGGCTCAGCAGTAGAGCACTCACCTAGCATGGGCAAGGCCCTGGGTTCGATCCTCAGCACCACATAAAAATAAATAAATAAAATAAAGGTCCATTGACAACTAGAAATATTTAAAAAAAAAAAAAAAAGTAGAGTGCTTGCTTCTCATGCGTGGGGCAATGGGTTTGAATCCCAGCATCACATAAACAAATAATAAAGGTACTGTTATTCATCTACCACTAAAATGAAAAAATAAAAAAAGGGACTCTCAAAATAATTTTTCCTTTAAAAAAAGGACTCAAGACACAACACAGCTCAGTGGCAGAATGCTTGTCTATTATGGTGCAAGGTCCTGGGTTCATTGCCCAGTATTACAAACAGAAATAACAATGTAATAAAGCAATTATAATACAAATTCAGGATTATTTTAGACTCCTTTACAGAAACACAAAATGCTAGAAGATTCTAAAACATGTTACCAATTAAGAAAGAAAGGGTAGGGAAAGATACATGATTTCACATGTATAACAAGGATTATAGATAATATTTCAGCACATGCAAGAGCTCAAGAAATACTGTTTCAGCCAGGCACAGTGGTACACACCTATAATCCCAATGGCTTGGGAGGCCGAGGCAGGAGGATCCCGAGTTTAAAGTCAGCCCCAGCAACAGTGAGTTGCTAAAGCAACTCAGTGAGACCCTGTCTCTAAATAAAATACACAATAGGGCTGGGGATGTGGCTCAGTGGTCAAGAGCCCCAGTTCAATCCCCAGCACCCACCCCCAAAAAAGAAATACTGTTTCTATGCCCTTATTACAGAGGATAATTGAGAATAAACATCAATAAGTAATGAACAGTAGTCAAGTCATGCCTGAACCTATATACAGTAAGGTTAAGATTTAAGCACATATGAGAATTATTATGATTAAAGATGGGGCTGAGAGTATAGCTCAGAGGTAGAGAGAATGTTCAGCATAATAAGACGTAGATTCCATCCCAGTACAAGAAAGAGGAAGGGAGAGTACAAAAAAGACAAAGGGAGGGAAGATTAAGTCAATGCCATAAATCCAAAAAAATAAGAGGTAAGATAACAAAAATTACAGGAAAATCAAAAGGATGACCAAATATAGTTATTTCCTTGTCCTTCTTTCTTTGGTAGTTGGGAATCATCATTTAAAGGAAATAAATATACGTTTATTACTTAATTTATAAATACAAAAGCAAAATTTTGTAAAAATATTAAAAGAAAAAAAAGGCAACACAACAAAGAAAAGCTCAGTAGTGGAAAGAGAGAAAGTAACAGAAAAATACATGGTGAAGAGTTTATACTATCTGCTTAGAGTTGTATTAAGTTAGGGTAACAAAGATAAGAAAATTCAAGAACTATGCTGATGATCAAAAACAGATGGTAAGGCAGGAGGATCACAAGTTGAAAGCCAGCCTCAGCAAAAATGAGGCGCTAAGCAACTCAGTGAGACCCTGTCTCTATATAAAATACAAAATAGGACTAAGTTCAATCCCCGATAACAACCCCACCCCCACCTCCCCCAAATGGGCTGGGGAATGGCTCAGTAGTCCGGAGTCCCTGGGTTCAAGCCTCAGTACCAAAAAAATAAAAAAAATAAAAAATAAAAACCCCAGATGGGAGCCAGGTACATGGTAAACACCTGAAGTCCCAACTTATTTGGGAGACCGAGGCAGGAGGATGGTTTAAACCAAGGAGTTAGTGGCCAGCCCGAGACTAATTTAAAAAGGGGGGGGGGGGCTAGGGATGTGGCTCAAGTGGTACAGCGCTTGCCTAATATGCGTGAGGCACTGGGTTTGATTCTCAGCACCACATAAAGATATTGTGTCCACCTAAAAAACTGAAAAAAATTTTAAAATTTTAAAAAATGGCTAGGGATGTGGCTCAAGTGGTAACGAGCTTGCCTGGCATGCGCGGGGCGCTGGGTTCGATCCTCAGCACCACATACAAATAAAGACGTTGTGTCCGCCGAAAACTGAAAAATAAATTAAAAAAAAAAAAAAAAGGCTGGAAGGGCTGGTACACCTGTAATTCTAGCAACTCTACAAACCAAGACAGGAGAATTAAAACCCACACCTTATACTTTATCCAAAAAGTAACAGAAATTTACCAAAATGATTTAGAGTTGAAGGAACAAATATTTACCTTTTAAAGAAACAATAACTCTGAAGTATATTGAATAGTTTACAGAAGGCAAACATCAGATAGAAGAAACTCCCATAAACATACTGCACATAGGCAGAGAGATATCTATAGTGCCTCAATCTCTGTGGACAGCTAACTGAAGATAAATATTAACAGAAATGCTAACTTAAAAAATAAAAATGAAAAACTTAAGAATAAAGTAAAGATCTGGGGCTATAGCTGCTCAGCAGCAAAGAGCTTGCCTAGTATGTGTGAGGCACTAGGTTCGATCCTCAGCACCACATAAAAATAAACTAATAAAATAAAAGCATTGTGTTCATTTACAACTACAAAAAAATAAAATAAAATAAAGAATAAAGTAAAGAGCGAGGCTGGGGATGTAGCTCAGTGGTAGAGTATGAGGCCCTAAGTTTGATCCCTAGTACCACCAAAAACAAAAATAAATAAACAAATAAATGACCTGAAGAAGAGAAAGTAATCCTATACTTAAAGAAAATAAAACTATCAGGCGTAATGGCAAAGAGTGGTGGCAAGAAGGACCAGAAAAAATTATTTGGAAAATTAAAGATCAGAAAAGGGAAGAGAGATATGAACAATAAAGACAGGTATTAAAAAAAAAGCTAAAGACAAAAAGGGAAGTGAGCCTCTGGTTTATCATATTATTAGGTATCCGAGTAGGGAATGAGAGAACATTATGGCCCATTAGCAGTGCTCTTAGAAGTTCTGTTAGCATAGTCTCAAGTACCTTCCAGCTCATTACTAGGAATTTACTCTTTCTAAATCCCCATATCCATCAGCGCACATGGATCTTTTACATCTCTTCTAGGTTATCCATCTATATCATTTTGGCATGTAGCAATAATTTATAAATCACCAGTATCTGTCCTAATTTCCAACAAATAATCTTGATACATGGTTTTATGACTTAACTAAAATTATCAAGAATTGCCCACTATACTTCTCTTTTTGCCTATAGAGTATATATTTGCTACTGGCAAAATTTAACACCACTGAATTATCTCTAACAAATTACTCAACATAGGTAGAACTTATATAAGACTGAGCAAGCATTGTTAATCCAAACACCTGAAATATGAAATACTCCTAGTCCCAAGCATTTTGGGTGCTTACTCAACCTGAAATAATTTCATGTTTTTATAAAAGAAATTCTCAGAAAAAATAATTTTTTTGCTGTTCTTTTCACATTTTTTTCTTTTTTTAATTTGTTCTAATTAGTTATACATGACACTAGAATGCATTTTGACAAACTGTACACAAATAGAGCATAACTTTTCAATACTCTGCCTATAGATGGTGCTCAGTCACACCAGTAGTGTAATCATATTACATGTATATCATACATGTATAATAATGTCTATCTCATTTTACTGTCCTTCTCATCCCCGCCTTCCCAGCCCTCCCCTCACTCCTTTCTGCACAATCCAAAGTTCCTTCATTCTTCCCTACGCACCCCTCAGTCCCTGACTATGGATCAGCATCCACTTATCAAAGAAAAAATTTGGCAGCAAAGGGAAATATTGAGTTCCAACTCTTGTCTTTAGACTCCTAAATAGGAACTTAAGTAGTAATATATGTCAGTGGACACATAAATAAATCTCAAGAAGAAAATACCACACCATATCTATATGAAAATATCACACCATATTTATATGTTTTTACCTTGCCTCATTAGCATTAATTGGTGTTCATGCCTAGCTGCTTCCATTTCTGCCTCCAGTTTTTCTTTGGCTTCTCTGATGTTTCTATCAACCTGCTCACGCTGCTGTTTTTCCATTTCATCAAGAGCCTTCCAGCGAGATGCATACTCAAACTCAAATGTTCCAGGTTGAGCAAAACGTGGTGGCTGTTCTCTTTCCCTAAATTTACATTAAAAACATAAAGAAATGTATGCTTAAAAAGTAAACAACAACATCAGAGAATAACTCTACCATTTATTGAGCATTTATAATGTTCAAGGCTCTTCATCACATAGGTAGTACTCTGATTACATGGCAAAATATAATATTTTAGTAAAAAAAGCTGTTAGAAATCATTGTTAACAAATAAACTTTATTTATTAATAAACAGGTTAACTGGCTGAGCCAAAAATCAAAGGCCTAACCCACAACTTGTTTTAAGTGCTAACAAAATATTTTAAATTCAATATGAGCATCAGTCTGTTAACTGTGGTCCCTCAAGTACAGTCTCTGGCCCCATCATGTAAATTTAGTATATATATATTTTGAGAGAAATAACATAAATGATGAGCAAACAAATGACCAATTAAAAAATAATAATAAAGGTCTATGAATGTTATCTTTTTTTTTTTTATTGGTCGTTCATAACATTACATAGTTCTTAATACATCATATTACACGGTTTGATTCAAGTGGATTATGAACTCCCACTTTTACCCCGTATACAAATTGCTGTATCACATCAGATACCCTTCCATTGATTGACATATTGCCTTTCTAGTGTCTGATGTATTCTGCTGTCTGTCCTATTGTCTACTATCCCCCCTCCCCTCGAATGTTATCTTTTTTAAAAATCAATTATTACTGGCTATGAGAACTTCAAGAAGTACTCATAGGATCATAGGAACACAATACAATCTTTTTTTTTAAATATTTTTTAGTTGTAGATGGACATAATACCTTTATTTATTTATCTTTATGTGGTGCTGAGGATTGAACCCAGTACCTTCCACATTCTAGGCGAGCACTCTACCACTTAACCATAACCCCAGCCCCCACAATACAATCTTCATCCCACCTATAATTTGCAACTGTAAATTTTAACTTTTATTTTGAGGTAGAGAAAGAAAGATAAGAGGTGGGACCAATTTCAGAAAGATAAAGCATAAGGTTGTCACAGAGGGAAAGATGTAATAACCAGAAAAAGCTTTGAGGACCTTTCACAGGTACATGAGGACATTCAAAGGTTAGTCATGATCTAGATATTCTATACCTGCAAAACAAATTTCCATCTTTTCTTTATAAAGTATTAACTTGGAAGGGTGAAGAAGTAAGATGATATACCTACCACTAATTTACTAAGAACTATATATTAGACAGCAGTCCTAACTCTGAGACTGACTATAAAATAAATATAAGAATTCTTCTCTTTCTCTCTAGGAAAACAACATGGATTTTTGGACCTAGAATTAAATTTTAAACTTGCTTTTTATCCTCTGTGAGCATTTTCTCCTGAACCTGACTCTTTAGTAGTAAATCTAGGAAAATTAACTAGATTTCTTTAAAAAAAAATTGCATTAAATCCCACTTTTGTTTAAGACTCTTATAATTCCAGTTCTTTAATATAATTCCAGTTCACAATCCAAAAGTGTACACTATCTCAAATTTGTAATAAGATATAACAAGAAAATGTCAAGCAAACATTGTTAAGTCTTTGAAGAACAGCATTATGGTTCTGAATTATGATCCATTACTAGTGATACTCTTCCCTTGCTCCAGGACTCAGTTTGCTGCTGGTTGACACCCCTATTCCAATGACTGACCCCCTTTCTCAGTCTTTTTTGATTCCTTCTGATCTTCCAATCTGCTATATATATGGATTATTTCAAGACTCAGAGTTCAGTCCTTTGGCTTGTTATCACATGTTGGTACTCCCTGCCAGGAGAGATCCTCTAAAATCAGATGCACCCAACTACCTATTTGACTGTACTAGAAACACCCAGAATAGTGCTTGGCACAAAGACAATAAAGTGACTGTTTATAAAAACATAAAGTATTTACAGACAACTTATGCAAATATAATTGTACCACACTAAATAAAAAAGGCAACTGATAGGGTTGGGGTTGTAGCCCAGTGGTAGAGCGCTTGCCTGGCACGCATAAGGCCCTTGGTTCATTCCTCAGCACATTCATTAAATAAATAAATAAATAAACAAACAAACAAATAAATAAATAAATATAAAGATATTCTAATACTTTTAAAAATATTTTTTTAAAAAAAGGCAGGGTCTGGGATTGTGGCTCAGTGATAGAGCGCTCACCTAGCATGTGCAAGGCCCTGGGTTTGATCCTCAGCATCACATAAAAATAAAATAAAGATTTTATTTTAGTTGTCCAAGTATAACTAAAAAATAAAAATATAAAAAAAAAGTATTTCCAAAAAAAAGTGATTCAAAAAGGTGGGGGGGGGGGCAACTGATAAAATTTACAGCATTTTGAAAATGGGCTTTTTTTTTTTTTTTAAACCTGTAAAATAGTTCTTCCTCTGTGCCAGGATATTTGACCTCCCAACACTACTCCCTACCCACCCAAAAGTCTTCTTTCTACTTAAATACACCTGAAGCATACTAACTGAAGATATATTTTCACAGTATCTAGATTTCATTTTTCTCTAGCATGTCTCCTCCTAGCCACCTACCTCTACCACAGTATAAAAGGAAAGATTATTCTAAGTAAATAAAATTAATGTTTCACACACAAAACGACAACTAGCATTCAACATAAACCAGATTACTCTATTAACCAGATTGTATGACTACACAGAATATCGTATAACCCAATAGTACTAGACAGTAAATATGATAAAATAAACACCCCTGATAGCACATATTTAAAATATCTTTATCAATAAAATCTTACTTATGATATTGCTGAGTTTTCTGCATTAGCTTCTCTGGCAAGCCATCTTCATCATCAAACTGCTCCATGGGCTCCACAATGACTGGACGAGGAGTCCTGGATATATAAAGAATTAATAAATATTAACATAATGCCTACTTTCAACACCATTCTAGAAACTTTTTATAATAAATATATTCCCAGTGGCTTGGGAGGCTGAGACAGGAGGCTAACGAGTTCAAAGCCAGTCTTAGCAATGGCGAGGCATTAAGCAAATAAATAAAATACAAAATAGGGCAGGGGATGTGACTCAGTGGTCGAGTGCCCTTGAGTTCAATGACCAATACCAAAAAATAAATAGATAAAAAAATGCTTGGAAAATATCTCAGTTGAGAATATGTCAGAAGTAGCATATCTTGGGCTGGAGTTGTGGCTCAGCGGTAGAACACTCGCTTAGCACGTGCGAGGCCCTGGGTTTGGTCCTCAGCACCACATAAAAATAAAGATTTTTTTTTTTTAAAAAGTAGCATATCTTGTCATAAAATCAGTCAATAAATATTTGGTAGCCAGATACAGGTGAGTGTCAAAGCCAGAAAATACGAGTATATAAATTATCAATTATGAGTCAGCAGAACCACTGTAGTTCACTTTTATAAAGCACAATGAAAAAGAATGCACACCTAACCTATGTTTTATGTTATGTGGCCCTTATCATTCCCATGTCCCATCACTTCAAACCATGCATCTCTACCCACATCTACCCATATCCCAGTCTACCAGTGTCGTTCAGGGGGGGAAAAAAATCTTTCTTAAAAAACTGCTAAAGCCTGTTGGGCCCAGTGGCACACACCTATAATCCCAGCAGCTCTGGAAACTGAGGCAGGAGGATTACAAATTCAAAACCAGCCTCAGCAACAACAAGGTACTAAGCAACTCAGTGAGACCCTATCTCTAAATAAAATACAAAATAGGGCTAGGGATGTGGCTCAGTGGTTGAGTGCACTGAGTTCAATCCCCTGTACCCCATCCCCCAAATAAAAGCTAAAGCCTAAAATGATACCTAAAGGTATCAAACAAAAGTAGCAGATGCAAAAGATAAGACATTCATGGGGCAAGTTAGGGAAGAGGGAAGAGACAAGAGTGTAGACTGAAAGATGTGACTAGAAAAACATTCTCTTTTTTAATATTTTTCTAAGAGGAGGAAGGAAGAGTTATGATGTTATACTGATATTAAATTTTTTTTTGCTATCAGCTCACCATGCACACAACAGTAAAATCTACTTACTCTGCCTTCAAAAAATGATGCTTCAGAGAGAAATAAGTTTGATTGTTAATGTTTTAAGTGCTACCAGAAGAGCTAGAAATGGGGAAGGGGATTTTTGGAATCCAAAAGCTTCTGTTTAACACATAAACAAGATCCTAAACCAGAGAAAAGTATACAAAATTATTTTTAAAAAATTATATCTGAGCTAGTGGAAACCTTTTAAGAAAGAATTAAAATCAGGTATGGGATATTATGGAATGTAATTATAGAGACCTCAAATAAGCTAAGTAAGAACACAAAAGAAAAGGAATTTGAATTTTGTTACTTCTAAGAGGACTCAAAGGGGCCCAGGGCCAAAATGAAGATGATGCATTAAGTGGAGAATTTACCCACTGGAAACTAGGGCAGGACAGTAAACATAAGAATAGCAATAAAACCAGAAAAAAAGAGCTCCAGGTGAGCAAAGGTCAACAAAGATAGAACATGCATATCCCTTCAATAACACAAGGCTATTCTAATTCCTCAAAATTCAAAAGATACTCAGGAAGGAAAAATTACTAAGCAGACCACTTGTCTCAGAAAACATGATAATTACTTGAAAATGACAAAATTTTTACATGAAAACAGGAAAATGGTAAACAAGGTTAGGAGAAAAATAATGACATCTTTATACTCTGAAACATATCAGGTATTTTAACTATAACATGGACCATTAGCTAATTCCTTTTTTTTTTTTTTTTTGGTGTCAGGGATTGAACTCAGGGGCACTTAACCACTGAACCACAACCCCAGCCATTTTTTGTAATTTTTTTTTAGAGACAGGGTTTCACCAAGTGGCTTAAGGCCTCGAAAAATTCCTGAGACTGGGTTTGAACTCTCTCATCCTCCTGTCTCAGCCTCCCGAGCCACTGGGATTACAGTTTTGTAAAAACACACCCACTTGCCACTAGATGATTCTTAAAAACATTTGGGGAGAAAGGAAGTAAGAGTCTTCTTGGAAGAAACAAACACAAATGTGTATACTCTCACAGCCCCTCCTTTTATATTACCTTGTTCCTGCAATTCTACTTCTAAAGAGACATGAACGCAAAAATCAGTCACAATCACCTTTATCCATTATATAACAAAAGTGAGAAATACAGGAATGTGTGGCACACAGAAGGGAAGTACTTAAGGACTGTGTCTTATTTTTGTTAAATTAGGACATTATGTGAAAATAGTAACATCTGTGATTTCACTGTACCTACTATTCTTTAGAATCATCCTTTGTCCATTTTCTCATCTTATTTTTTTTTGAAGTACTAGGAATCACACCCACTTATACTCTACCGCTAAACTACATCCATAGACACACACACACACACACACACACACACACACATTCCCAATCCTCTTTATTTTTTGAGACAGGGCCTCACTAAATTGTCCAGGCTAGCCTCAAACTTGCAATAATCCTTCCTCAGCTTCCCAAGTAGCTGAGATTATAGGTGTGCACCACCCCACTCCACTTTCACCCATCTTTTTAATTTCACTTTCATCTTTCAGTATTCACAAAGGTTTTAAATCTTAAACTCTAATATTTCTCCCCATTTTGTCACCAGAATAATCATCTTGAAAATGTTTCATTTAAATAAGAATTCAAGTTTTGTATAAGAAAATCCCATGAAATACCATCATTTGGAAAGGACCTCTAATTATGTTGTGACAGTGACTTAAAAGATGATGCAGGGGACTGAGATTGTGGTTCAGTGGTGGACCACTTGCCTACAAAAGCACATGTAAGGCAATGGGTTCAGTCCTCAGCACCACAATAAATAAATAAATAAAGGTGTTGTATCCCTCTACAACTAAAAAAAACTACTAAAAAGAAAGAAAGATGAGACAGGGCTACAGGTGGTGCTCAATGGTATGGTGCTTGGCTAGCATGCCCAAGGCTCTAGGTTCAATAACCAGTACTACCAAGGCCAGTCTTAACAACATACCAAGGCCCTAAATAATGAGCAAGACGGTCTCAAAAAATAAAAACAAAAAGTTTGGGGCTGGGGATGTAGCTCAGTTGGTAGAGGGCTTGCCTCTCGTGCACAAGACCCTGGGTTCTAATCCCCAGCACCACCAAAAAGAAAAAAGTTTGGGAATGTAGCTCAGTGGTAAAACACCATCAAAAAAGGTGGTAGAGTATTTTGATGATATAATTTTTAAAAAGTAAAGAGATGTCTTTTACTTTACCATTTTGTGGGGTTTTTTTCTGTATTACTCTTTATTAGCATAGTTGGGAATAACTAAAGAGTTATGATAAAATAAGCTTTAGCAAGACAAAATAACCAAATGTTTGACAAAGGAAAAATAAAAAATATTTTGATAATGTTATCTTAAATTTATATAGTGACCCAATAGACCAATATGGTGATTTTAAAGGGGGGGGTTCTTCTAATATTTTTTAATCTTCTTTTTGTTCTTTTGAAGACATTTACAAAATAACTGACCACATACTAAAATTTAACAGATAATTGGGACTGCTAAAAAATATCGGGTCTAATTGAGAATGATAGTATCCCAAAGGTTAAAGCTGCTTTTCTAGAAAGGTTACACTTCCACTACCAGCAGGTTTTTCTAAATAATCCTCAAATTTCCAATATACAAGTGAAAGAAATATTACAGCTGAGCACAATGGCACATGCCTATAATCCCAGTGGCTTGAAAGCTGAAGCGGAGGCAGAAGGATGGTAAATCAAGGCCAGTCTTAGCAACTTAGCAAGGCTCTAAACAATGAGCAAGACTGTCTCAAAAAAATTAAAAACAAAAAGGTTGGGAATATAGCTCAGAGGTAAAACACAAGCCAAACAATTGTTGAAAAGAAAAAAATAGGTATCACAATGGTATTTTTATTAAAGGAATTTTAAAATCTAGGAGAAATCTCATTTAATATAGGAAGACATAACAAAGTAATAAAATGATGGAAAAGTAATCTCTTTCAAATGAGTAGTATGCAAAAGCTATTACTGTTGAGAGCCACAGCCCAGTTGGAATGGCCCCTGGCATTTTGCCAGAAGTAATGGTTCAGAGGCAAGCTGGATTGAAACAGGCTGTGTATTCAATTGTATATAGACCCCTACTGTCCGTTACTTTGGAGCTCTAGCAGGGGTTCCTGGGGAGTTCGCTTGGTTGGTGAAGTTCTGGTGGAGGGAGTTCCGGTTGGTGTGTGGGGTTCCTGGAAGGGCCGCGTGGGTGGCTTTCGGGGGAGTTCGGAAATAAAGTTTGTTCCTGCTTGAGTGATTTGTGCCCAGCCAGACTGCGGCAATTAGTATATCACATGTGTACAGAAATGAGTTAAAAAGGCAAGTCTAACACTGCTGGTCTATCACCCTAATTGATAAGGCTGTTTATCGGTGCCTAAGCTATTAGAACAATAGTTTGTGAACATAAACTTCTGGTAAATTTGATGACTGACCCCACCACCCTACACACACACACACACACACACACACATACACACACACTCCCCTGCACTCCAAGGCTCAGGTTAATTTTCCTGGTAGATAACACATCATTTCTTGCTTAGATGAGTTAGAAACATCCTGTATGAATCTAATGGAAGGACTCTTGGAAGTATACACTAGTTTCCAACCGACCATACTCCATGCTACTTTTCCCTTTTGCTTATTTGCTTATTTTGTGTACTTTCAGTATAATAAATAATAAGTATTGCACAGATGTTACAGCCTCTTGATCCTTACAGTGATCTGCCAAATCTGGAGGTATCCTTGGAGTCCTCATGATACACCTGTAAACACACTAACCAAATATAACTTCTATTGTCATTTTCACACTTTTATTTCCAGTCTTTTTTCTATTT